ATTCTCCTCTATGGGCTGGAACAGACTACATTTCCCATGGTGCACAGCAGCCTCCCCTCTGGCTGAGTCACCACAGTGCACCATGGGAGTGCGACACAGACATGACCACATATGTCCAGGCATGCCCTGGCAGGTGTATTACATCTGTGTCTGAGCATCGTTTCACTATTTCACCAAAAGGGGATCGTGTAGATCTCTACTAAAAAAGAAATACTAGCTGGTTCTCATGGTTATTGTGAATGTTTGCACAGGAAACATTTCTAGAGTTATGTAACATTCAGAATACTGGTTTCCAAAATTGGTGGAGAAGAACCTTATCACCTGAGGCTGGGGGGTCTCAAAGCTGACTCAATCAACACTGAGAACAATCGACATCCACAGACACATGTGGACAAAGTCCAGAGGAGAGCAACACAAGTGATTAAAGGTCTAGAAAACATGCCCTATGAGGAAAGATTGAAAAAAAACAGGCTTGTTTAGTCTGGAGAGGAGAAGACGGAGGGAGGACATGATAATAGTTTTCACGTATAGAAAAGGCTGTTACAAGGAGGAGGGTCAAAAATTGTTCTCATTAACCCCTGAGAATAGGAGAAGCAATGGGCATAAATTGCAGCAAGGGAGGTTTAGGTTGGACCTTAGGAAAAACTTCCTAACTGTCAGGGTGGTTCAGCACTGGAATAAATTGCCCAGGGAAGTTGTGGAATCTCCGTCATTGGAGATTTCCACAGTCAACCTGTGGAACTCTTTGCCGGAGGATGTTGTGAAGGCCAAGACTATCACAGGGTTCCAAAAAGAACAAGATACATTCATGGAGGATAGGTCCATTGATGGCTATTAGCCAGGATGGGCAGGGATAGTGGCAGTAGCCTCTGTTTTCCAGAAGCTGGGAATTGGTGATAGGGGATGGATAACTTGATAATTCCCTGTTCTGTTCATTCCTCTGGGGCACCTGGCACTGGCCACTGCCGGAAGACAGGACACTGGGCTAGATGGACCTTTGGTCTGACCCCGTATGGCCGTTCTCATGTTAACAGTTTAGACAAACACCTGTCAGGACTGGTCTAGTTATTACGTAGTCCTGCTGTGAGCACAGGGGACTGGACTAGATGACCTCTTGAGGTCCCCTCCAGTCCTACACGTCTATCATTCTATGGCCCAGCCCTGTGTTTTCAGTCTGGGGCAGAAGCAAACTTGATTTTGACAAAGGTAAAGCTCTGGGACTGTATAGGAGAAGGGAAGCAGGTACAAATGTTACATGGAAGCAGCAATTCTGCCAGCAGGTGTCTCATGAAAAGTGGATCCCAGCTCTCTGGAAGAACGGACAAGGCTCCCTCCTGCTGGGAGCAGGTAGCAGCGATTTACGCTGGGCTCCTCGGGTTTCCCCGAGAGTGTCACAGGGAGTCCCTTGTTTGTAGTGGGAAGTGGAAACAGGCAAGGCCAAATCGTCCGAGGGTAGAGACCCCCTTGCAAGCTCCAAAGGCCTGTGAGTGAAGCACACGGTATTAGCTCAACAGTGCACACTGACTCTTGCAGATCGCCCGAGGTGCCCGTACTGGCATCGGCTGGCTCTGGGCCTCACATTGGCTGGGAACGTCGTGCTGCTGGGAGTGGTGACGCGGCTGGCTGCTCGGGGTGAGTGTGCCAAAACCGTGCGTTTGGGCTGCACAGCAACGCACCATGAACGCAGCACAAGTTGCTGGGCTCAGTGCAGGAATGGCCGGGTGGACTTCTCTGGCCTGTGTGATACAGGAGGTCAGACTAGGCCAGCGGTGGGCAAACTATGGCCCACGAGGCACATCTGGCTTGTCAGACATTTTAATCTGGCCCTCGAGCTTCCACCGGGGAGCAGTATCCCCAGAAGCAGCGGCATGTCCCCCTCCGGCTCCTATGCGTAGGGGCAGCCAGAGGCCCCAGCACACTGCCCCCGCCCCAAGCACTGCCCCCGCAGCTCTCTTTTGCTGGTAACTGTGGCCAATGGGAGCTGCGGGGGCGGCGCCTGCGGACAGGGCAGTGCACAGAGCATCCTGGCCACGCCTCCACGTAGGAGCCAGAGGCGGGACATGCGGCTGCTTCCAGGAGCTGTTTGAGGTAAGTGCCGCCAGGAGCCTGCGTCCCTGACCTCCTCCTGTGCTCCAAGCCCTGCCCCAGCCCTGACCCCCTCCTGCATCCCAAACCCCTCATCCCCAGCCCGACCCCAGAGCCTGCACCCCCAGCCAGAGCTCTCACCCCAACCCCAATTTCATGAGCATTCATGGCTCACTGTACAATTTCCATACCCAGATGTGGCCCTCGGGCCAAAACGTTTGCCCACCCCTGGACTAGACCATCATAATGCTGCCTTCTGACCTTGGAATGGATGAATCTATTACACTGCTGCACTCTAGGCCAGATTCTAACTGGTGCAACTAACTGGTGTTGCTCCATTTATTTGAGCCAGCTCGGAGTCTGCCCCCATTGACCCCAGTGGGACTTTGGCCAATTCACACCAGGTGGAGATCTGGCCTAGTTACTCCAATGGAGCGCTGGCTGATTCACCCCAGCCCAGTCTTTTCCAATCTTTGGCTTCCAACAACCATCCACAGAGAAATTTTCTCCAAGGTTCCCTGAACCCATCACTGACCGGAGCCGTCCCAAAAACGATGGAGAACGAAACCTCAGCTCAGCCCAGTCCTAAAGGAAGAGGATGCAGCGACTTGGAGGAGTTCCGCTCTCGCCTGCGGCAACATTTGTGTTATACACAAAACAACCAGCCAGCAGGTAACCCCAGCTCATGCTGCCTCCCGCAGTCACTGTTACAGGCACTGATGGTTCCCAAAGCAGAGCCGCTCTCGCACCCCCTCTTCTCTCCCATCCCTTCAGATCTGTTTAATATCTCCAGGGACACTCAGCCTCAGCAGTGACAGCGAGTGGCCAGCGCAGGTAACTGCAGACTTGAATCATTCCGGCAACTTTAATAGAATCCTGTAGTTTAGCTGTCATGGGACCAAGAGACGCTGAGATGGCCCCGGCCCCAACAAGTTCACAGTGTAAATAAACAAGACACTCAGAAGGAGAAACTGAGGCACAGGGCAGGCCATGACCTGCCCAAGGACACAGCAGGCTAGTGACAGGGCCCAGAGTAGAACACGGCTCTTTTGAGCCCTAGGTCAGGGGTTCAACCACAAAACCAACCTTCATTCTAATGCCCACCAGAGCTCTGCGCCTCTATATTATCCTTCACCTGAAAGATGGCACCGCCTGGGGAACAGCATCTGGTATGGAGTCAAGATCCCCCCACTACTGAGTCACACACCCCTCCTCCCTGCTGCACAGCACCCCCTAGTTCAATGGGACCGGGGTGAGCCCTGACTGTGAGTGGAGAGCGCCCCCTACAGAGTCCCCCATCCCACTCCCTGCAGCACAGCGTCCCCCAGGGCTGGGGCATTGGGGTCAGCCCTGCGTGTGAGCAGCTACGAACCCCAATCTCATTCCCTACAGTGTCCTCTAGCCCCACACTGGGGCATTGCGGCCAGCACGGACTGCAAAGAGAGAACGCCTCCTACCGAGCCCCCACCCTGCTCCCTGCAGCACAGCGCCCCCTGCTGCTTGGACATTGGGGTCCAGCCCGACTGATGTTTTAGTCTTGCCCACATACTGATCCCATCTCGCCCACATACTCACCCCGTCTCTGCCGCTAGGCCCCAGTCCTGGGCTCAGTAAAGCCCTGAGCGTGAAGGCTCTATGCGTCTCTGTAAACGTGGTCAGCCCTGTTCAGACTGATCATTAATGACACCTCTCTTCCATTTCCCCCTCCAGAGGGTTCCAGCTGCAAACTCTGCCCCAAGGACTGGCTGCTGCATGGGAACAAGTGTTACTGGGTTTCTACAGCGATTAAAAGCTGGGAGTGGAGCCGTGACGACTGTTTAATGAAGAGAGCACAACTGCTGGTGATCGATGACCGGGAGGAGATGGTAAAGAACGTGCTATATTCAACTGCAGGATGTGTGTTGCTATTAATTACAGCTGGACCAAAATCACAGTTTTCCCTCCAGTGGCAAATTAAATAAACATGTTGGTACTTTTTGCAAGAAACTTTTGTTGTGAAAATGAAACCAACTTTTCGTTTCAGGTGTATAAAACTGAAAAATGTCGAATTTTCTTCTCATTCCCCTCCCTTTTCTCCCCTATTGAATCCAACCCAGACTGAGTCATGTCCTTAGTAGATTTGTCTGCCCCTTGACCCTGACCACGGTTGAGATGAGGTCCCATGTGCATAGCAAGCAACTGAGCCAGCGAATCAGAGCATGTTCTGGTCACTCTGACATGTCGTCCATTTCACAGGCGTCCATGTGGAATATTACACGGGACCAACATCAGGTGTGGATTGGACTTAACATCACATCCCCAGGCAGGACGTGGACCTGGCCGGACGGATCCCCGTTAAATCAAACACTGTGAGTGGTTCCTCATGAGGATTTTGTTCAGTCTACAATAAATAAACCAGTTAACAAGAGTTTTGTCCTGGATTTCAATGGGGCCAGGATTTCACACACACTGATTTATGGTATAGGGCCCTAATCCTGAAAATGCTTCTAGACGTGCTTAATGTTAACTCTCCTTGAAGCCAATGGGGTGACTCACGTGAGTCAAGTTAAGCGAGCAGATAAGTCTTTGTGAGATTGGGGGCTCAATCTACATGTCCCATCAATCCTTGGCAGAGCTGGCTGTGAAACAGGACAAAGGAAAAAAATATCACCCCCCCTCTCGCATTTTTCATCAACATTTGAAATTAGATCCATTTCAAAATTCGGAAAGTTCCAACCAACTCTACAGTTGATTGGATAAAATGAAAACAATTCACACAATTTAGCCAATTTTGTGTGCCCATTTTCCCCCGACACACAGAAATGGCTGCAGTTTAAATGGAAATTGCAAAATTTGAAAAAAAAATTGAGCCACTTTGATCTTTGACCTCTCTGCTGAACTTGCACCAAAGCCCAGTGGCTGTGCTCATTTCTGTTCTGGAGGAGACGCACAGCTACTATCGATCCTCTTCTCCAACTCTCAACACACGGACAGTGACTGTCCCCTTTGCTCTTTAGGTTCCCAGTTTCGGATCCTAAGCAAGAGAGTAACTGTGCCTCTGTGAAGAAAAACAAGATCCATTCTGAAATCTGCCAAACTGAGTTGAAATGGATTTGCCAGAAAGCAGCTGTCCTAGTTTAAGGAGTTGGATTTGTGAGCTCTGTTTGCACAGGTTGAATGTGTGTTTCATCTTTCTTTCAGCTATTAAAAACGATGGGTGAGATGCTCAGCCGGTGTAAATAGTATAAAAGTCAATGGAACGACACCAATGAATGACTGATTGGCGGGTGGGGGGAGGGGGGCACCGGAGGGAGGGCTGAGGGGAATCAAAACGATCAAATCCACGTAAAAGTAGAAAACAAAATTTAGAAGTGACAATGGCCTATAGAAGTGGTCATGAAAAATCTCAACTCAACAGAAATGGTTCCTTTAAAAAACGAAATGACTTTGAAATTCTCTTGCATATTTTGACCAGCTCCAGGCCTGCTACGTTGTGGGATGACTCCACCAGGCCAGGTTAATTGTGGGAAGAAGGGATCCAACTCCCATCATTCCCCCTGCTGTATCCCAGAAATCCCCAGGTGAATGGAAGATTCCCAAAGGGATTATATTACAGTAGTAACTAGGCCAAGGGGTCTCAACCTTTTTCTTTCTGAGGCCTTTCCAACATGCTATAAACACTCCCGGGCCCATTGGGGGGATGCGTGAGGGGGCTCCAGGCTTCAGCCGCTGGGCCGGGGGTGAGGGCACAGCTCAGGCTTCTGCCCCGCAGGGCACCGAATCGTTGGTCTCATGGGGCATCTGGGCTCTGGGCTTCGAACTTCAGCTGTGGAGCACCAGGGCTCGGGGCTCTGAGCTTTCTGCCCTGGGCCCCAGCCAGTCTGATGCTGGCCTTGCTGCACTGATCCCCAGTTCAGAGCCACGGAACTAGAAGACCCAGCTGAGACAGGCCCCGTTGTGCCGGGTGCTGCTGAACATACGAAGTGGACAGAACAGCTCCTGTCCTGAAGCGCTTCCGATCTCAATAAGGCGGGAGGAGAAACAGAGGCACAGAGATGGGACGTGATTAGCCAAGCAGGGCAGAGGAAGATGTCCTGAGTGCCAGTCCAGAGCCCTTAGCCACTGGACTATGCGGCCCCTCCAGTCCCAGATGGCCACTGCGATCCTGTCCATCGCTGAGACAGAAGAGTAGAACCAGAGTATTTGGGAGTCCACAGCCTGGCATCCCAAGCAGCAACGACAGGGTGATTTGGCAGCCGTCTAGGCAGAGATTCAGGGAAGCAATTATTCAGACAAAGGAAAGGGGCTGTCAGAATCAGTAGCATCAACCAGGAGCAACTGCAGCACCTCGGAATCTAGGCTTATACACCTGCAAACACTAATCTAACCTTACGGCAGCGCAGACATGTTTAACCGCACGCTGACCTACAGAAGGGCACAGGAAGCTGCCTTCTGTCAACATGCTGTATGATGCCCTGCGGTGTGAACAGGTTTCAACACCCGCTGATGCCTCTGATCAGTCCACCCCGTTGTCCTCACGGTCTCTGAGAGAACTGCTTCTCGTGCTGCTGCATTTCACTCCATACACATTTGGTAGCATGTCTGAAAAAGTGGATGTGTAAATCATGTAATTCTCGTAGCACATAGAGACAGTAACTGAGATCAGGGTTCCCTAGTACCAGGTTCTGCACAGACACACAGGGAAAGACAGGCCCTGCCCCAGCTGAGATCAGGGCCCCGTTGTGCCAGGCACTGCACAGACACACAGGGAGAGACAGTCCCTGGCCCAGCTGAGATCAGGGCCCCGTTGTGCCGAGCACTGCACAGACACTCAGTGACAGACAGTCCCTGCCCCAAAAAGCTCAGTCTTAATAAACAAGACAGACAAACCTTCCCAGTTTTCTCTCCTTTGCAGGCCCATGCCAATATGGGTCACTCAGATAAGCACCTACATTCAAAAGGGTTTATCCGATGCTTCCACATCCGAGCTGAGATTCGAATGTAAATGTTCCTGGCTCTTAGTCCAATGCTCAGTGCACTAAATCACACGGCCTCTTATCCAGTTTGTCACTATACACCCATCTACACTTCTTACTGGCTGGTGAAGAGATGTGAAGGGGAGATGAGCTCTAACCACAGGCTGTGACACGAGGATCACCAAAGAGACATGAGAATGAGTAAAGGATGATTAAGGATTATGTGCTTTATAGCAAAAGCCTCAAACTGCTCAGTCTGTTTAGCTTAACCAAGAGACAGTTAAAGGGGTGACTTGGTCACACTCTATAGGTGCCTACATGGATGAAATGTGATAATAGAGGGTTCTTCCATCTAGCAGATAAAGGTATAACAAGATCCAATGGCTGGAAGTTGAAGCTTGAAAAATTTGGACTAAGAATACAGTGCCTATTGTTGAGTGTAATTAACGATTGGAACAACTTACCAAGGGTCGCCTCAGATTCTCCATCCATGGAACATTTTCAATGAGAACTGGATGTTTTTCTAAAAGACGTGTCCTGGTTCAAACAGGGAAGTCCTATGACCTGAGTTATACAAGAGGCAGGAGTGCAAGTAGGGTGGTAGCCTCCAGTTTGCAGTACCGGCAAGAATTTTTTAGCAGGTATGGAGTACCGGAAAGACTTGGGGCTATCCCCTCCCCCTCCAGAGAGGGTGTGGGGCTGCGCTCTGCTCCTTAAAGGAGCAGAACATGGCTAGGGAGGGCATTCATTCTTTAACAGCACAATACATATGCTAACAAATATAAACAAAGGCTTTGTTTACGTTTGTTAGCATATGTATTGTGCTGTTATGTTGGTCAGAAGTCCTCAAGAGGGAAGGGGTGGAGGGGGGATGGAAGGTGTTTAAACAGTGTTTTTGATTCTGTTTCTCCCCATTGGTCTAAATTATCCATGACATTCATACTGCATCACATCAAGTCCAAATCATTAGAGGAATGCCTCTGCTTGCACTGACCAGAGGATGTTTGAATTCTGATGTCAGCCCAGTTCTGCAGCCTGATGGGAATCAGGTGTTGTCCCCAGTGTACATAGAATTCTTCTTTGCAGCCAAACTAGTCTAACATGCATTTTGTTAACTGGACCTGGAGCAGCAAAACAAAGAAAACAAATGCCTCATTTCCCAGCTTTGTGAGTGAGAGAACTATAAGTGAAGATTATAATGCCGGACACTGACGGCCTTAAACCAGCTCCCTCAGGAATCTGCCAAGAACTTCGCTGAAAATATGTTCCTCATCTTAGCAACGGAGCTAAGACTTATCACACACCTGCCCACCTTTATTGGAATGACGCTCCTTCTGAGCCGACAGCTCAGGCATGGTCAGTTTCATCCAGAACAATTTACACATTTGGAACCTAATCCTGTAGACCCTTAATCATTTGATCAATCCCACTGAAGACAATGGGACTATTTGCATGACTATGGACCACTTTTGTGGGCCGGTAAGAGTTTCAGGAGTCTGTTCCTATCAAGGAAGTTGAATCCCCCATTGAAATGCAATGTTTGGGTACAATACCATGATGCAGTTTAGGATACAGTTCTACTTAAAATTTGTCTTTTAATAAGTCATACATATGCTGAAATGGCCCCTCACCTAACTCACATATTCCATCTAAACAGACGGAATACTACATATTTGGGGGGAAAGTGAGTACTTAAGCATGTTGATGTTTGTATATACAAAGGGCAGTGTTGGAAGGGACAGGGAGGGTGGGGGCCCCGGGCTGGGGGGCAGGACAGGGAGGAGTCACATAGAGGGTCACATGGGGAGGTCATGTGCCCCCCCTGTCCCTCCCATGAGGGCAGTACGGGCAATAAATGATTTCTACTTGCACCACTGACAAGAGGTCAAACTAGGTGACCACAGAGGTCCCTTCTTCTGGCTTTGTAAGCTATGAATTTTGCACAGGGGGAGTTTGGTGCTGCTATACTCTACTGGGACTGCCCCTGGGATACTGAAGATCTTGTCCCCCTCTGCGGGGAGCAGTGGATGCAGAAGGGGAAAGATGCTAAGTCTCAATTGTGGATTGATCCTTTCACTGTGTCCCTGACCCGTCTGTGCCAGAGCAGTGACTCCCCTGCGCTCTGCTGCCATCTCAGAGCCGCTCCCCATTCAGAGCCGGAAAGGCGGAAGTTGCCTGATTCCCTCTCCAGCTAGAGCAGAGTCTGTCACTGACACAATCAAACCCTCCTCCGAGGGCTCAGCTCGCCCCCTAGCGGTCAATTCTCTTTCTGCAGTGAGTGCGACTCTAGATCAGTGGTTCCCAAACGTTAACAACCTGTGAACCCTTTTCACTAAAATGTCAAGTCTGGCGAACCCCCTCCTAAAAATGAATATTCCCAGGGATTTTCTCCTTTACCTGAGTATAAATTATAAAAGCAGTGATCTTGGGAATATAAAATTTGTTTTTATGACATGCTTATTACACACTATTTCTTATTAATTATTATTTATCATTACATTATTTTTATTACATTATGAAAACGGCACCACTCTTCCAAGCTCTCACTTTTGTAGCTTGTATCACTTTGACTAAGCCTGTTATAAGACACGGTTCCTATGTTTCATCAAGGAGTATCAGATGTGAACCAGCATGAAGGTTTTTAAGAAGCCAACTCAAAGAGTTCCTCCTACACAAGCATTCAGGTCGCGAGCAGCCAGGCAAACACCGCACGTTACAACAAAGCTTAAACTTGTTCTTCATAATAATTATAAAAACAAGACTAGCTGCCTATTTCATTTTAAAAACAGCAAAAAATATCCCCCTCCCTTTTCATTTCTTATAAGGAGTCTTGAAGTTTAAATCTCCTCAGTGTGATAGATATCTTTGCTTTGATCTGCTTAGCTCTTGGAAGTCCAGGGGCTCTGGACTGCTGGTCCCGTGCTGCCCAGGGTCCCTAGGGACAGCTCTGTCCGCCATTAGGGATTTTTTTCCCCAACAACTCCCTGTAACATTTCACAAACCCCCAGGGGTTCAAGAACATCCAGTTTGGGAACCACTGCTCTAGATCCAGACACAGCTCACCCCCAGCTCATCCGGTCTCTGCCTGACAATCCCCCGAGAGTTGAGTCTGCTGCCTGTGTGCTGGGCTGTGACAGATTCACCTCACGGAGGCATTACTGGGAGCTGGTGATCCAGGTGGAGGGAGTCTGTGAGCAGGAA